CTACTTCAGTTCCAGTAAAATTTTTTAAAAATTTTTCAAACTTGGACCAAAAAAACCAAACCCATTACCGGCTCATAGCAAACCCATAGGATAGAGTTGCCCCATGGGGTTTCCAAGGAGTGCTTAGTGGATTCAAACCGCTGACCTTTTAGTTAACAGCCAAGCTCTTAACCACTGTACCACAAGGGCTCCTAAAACTTGGATAGGAAATCTAAATTCATTTTTAATTTATAAAAAAGAATTGATTTCATATACGTATTATTTATCCTATATGATAGAAAAAGTTCTAATTGACATGGTACCTCTTGTACTTTTGTAATATAGGTCCTGAATTCTATAACAGAAGAAGTCCTTGATCATGTGGGTACTTTCCGAAGTGTACTGGATCAGCTAGACTGGATACTAAACAAATTTAAAGAAGGTAATGAAGTGGATGCTTCATTTAGTTTAGGGTGAAGTTAAGTAGACACTTTTACTTATTCGTGTTTTTGTGTACACAGAAAGGATTATTTTAATAACTGCACTTATCTCAGTGCAGTAGTTAACTGATTTAGATTTCTCTAAAATAATTTGTCTTATCTTTTTCTATGAAATATTTCTGTGAACTTAGCTAAAAGAAGAGAGTTCTTTATACAGTCTTAATTTTGTATAGCCAAATGCATCTTATTTCAGAATAATTTGTAGATTTTGGGCAGTGTGGTGTATCTCCAGTTAATTGGTACATCTTTGTCTGGTATTTTTATATTGTTTAATTATTTAATTTTTTATAAAACATTCTTATTTCTCTATTCTGAGTAAATAAAGCTACACTGGGATAATGTCACAAACTCAAAATCTGTGGAGTGGGAAAAAGACATTTTCTTTTTTATACTTTCAGTGTGAATGTTTTAGTTATGGTAGCAATCAGAAGATTAGAAATAAAATTATTCAGTTTCTACCAATTAATTTTCATTTAGTCATTGCTTATGAATTACAAGGAGTAATTGACAATGCCTAATTGATTTTATGGATAATTTTGTTTAGAATGATTAATAGTCCTCACACCATTTCCATAACACATTTATCTCATCAATACCCTGTGCATTCTTAAGTTTCCTCTTTAGCTTACTTCCTAGCTGAACAATTTTTCTATGCTAAATTTCTTCCTTTTAGGCATCTGGTGCCCGTTTTATGTGCAGTCTTTTATAGACATGGACAATATACGTTCTTGTTCCAGTGCTACACATTTGAAAATAGAGTTGATGCTCATTACTTGTGGATTTCGCATTTGTGAATTTGTCTACTTGCTAAAATTAATTTGTAATCCCAAAATCAACACTCGTACTTCCACAGTCATTTGCAGACATATGCAGAGCAGCAAGAATTTGAGTCACCCAAGGCGTGCATTCCCAGCTGAGATCGAGCAAGGCGACTTTCTGCCTTGTTTCTGCTCTCATACTGTAAACAAGTGTTCTTTTCACTATCTTTCTAATGCCTCGCCTTTCACATTTTTTGTTGATTTCACTGTTGAAAACGACCCCCAGGCATAGTGCTGAAGTGCTGGTTGGTGGTCTTAAACAGAAGAAGGCTATGATATGCCTTATGGAGAAAATACATATATTAGATAAGCTTTATTCAGGCATGAGTTACAGTGCCATTGCCGTGAATTCAATGTTAATGAATCAATCAAAAAACAAACAAAGAAACAAACCCACTGCCTTTGAGTTGATTCCAACTCATAGCAACCCTATAGGACAGAGGAGAACTGCCCCACAGGGTTTCCAAGGCTGTAAATCTTTATGGAAGCAGACTGCACATCTTTCTCCTGACTGAATCAACGGTACATATTAAATAAGATGTCTTTAAACAGAAATGCATAAAACGTTATGTATTGATCAGTTGACAAAAGTGTTATGACTAGAAGCTTGTAGGAACCTAACTCTGTATTTCCCCTGGGCCCTGTGATTCATTATTTACTAATTCATTGTTCACCGCAACTTTATAGAATATAACTACCAAAAATAACGAGAATCAGCTGTACATATTTTGCTGAATCCCAAAATTAACTGCGTATGTGAACATTTTCTTGTTCGTTGGTTATGTAGATCTATAGTGAACCACTAGCTGGTTTATCATAAACAAATCTGTTTAGTTTGTTTTCAGTTCTTTCAACCTTATTAGTTAATTAAAAATCAATTGTTACAGTATTTTGCCCCTATAGTAGTTTTGGCTTATTTTTCTGGACCCTCTTTAGTTCTGAGCATCCATTTTAATATGTAATGTTAATGTTAATATATTTTCCCACATGTAGAATAATAAAAGCATCCTTCCTATGTCTTTACCACAGATCCTTGTGGTACAGCTCAGTATTCTTTATGTGCTCATTAAAGTAGTTACATAAGTCATTGAAAATGCATACTTTTTTTTTTTGGACTTTTGACTGGTTATCTTCCAGAATTCAAGGAACCTGCATTTTCAAAATGTGTCGTCTCAGAGTCTTTGTCACTGTATTCTTTCTCTTGTCCCTCCAGCCCCAGTAGAAGTTTACTCTCTTCAAAAGGCCTGTCCTTAATCATAGATACCAAGAGTCCCATTTCTTACCAGCTTCTAAGAGACTTACCAATACCTTTGCCTTTTAAACATGCATAGATCTTTTTTCATCTTAAGAAAAAAATTTACCTGATTCTGATACCCCTTCAAACTATTTTATTTCCTATTTCCATATGATTTCAGAGTTTTTGAAGTCATGTCATGCCTTCTATTTTTTTTTAACCCATTTCTTTCTTAATTTCTTGCTCTTATGCTACCTGGACCATATCCTGTAATTTCCTTCTCACCAAACCCATTGACCTTGGCTCATCCTTTATTTATTCTGATGTATTTGATGGTGTTGACAGCTCTATCCTCAAAATTCTTCCTTCATTGACTTGTCTGATGTTTTGCATCCCTGACCTTCCTAATGCCTTGAGCAGTTTCCTAATTGTCTTTTGTCTCTCGGCTTTTGCAGCAATCAGAATTTTGTTTGTTTGTTTTTAATATAATCTTATAATGCTTAATGAAAACTCTTCGATCAATAGATAATTTTTGTTTTTTGTATGTGCGTGTGATTCCCCCCCCAGCCCCCCACACTCCCACCTTGCAATGCAACATGCACAGATTCACTTCCAATCTATTATATGCATTTCACCTAAAAGTTCTCTTTTTTCCCATGTCTTATTAAAAACTATGTTCCCCCACCCAACAGCACCACAGAAGAAACAGGCCTGGCAATCTGCTTCTGTAAAGATTACAGCCAAGAAAACCCTATGGAGCAATTGCACTCTGTAACACACGATGTCATGAATTGAATTGTGCCCCCAAAAATATGTGTCAACTTGGTTAGGCCATGATTCCCAGTATTGTGTGGTTGTCCTCCATTTGTGATTGTAATTTTATGTTAAAGAGAATTAGGGTGGGATTGTAACACCCTTACTGAGGTCACATCCCTGATCCAATGTAAAACGAGTTTCCCTGGGGTATGGCCTGCACCACCTTTTATCTTACAAGATATAAAAGGAAAGGGAAGAGAGCAGAGAGGGGGAAACCTCATACCACCAAGAAAGCAGTGCTAGGAGCAGAGCGCATCCTTTGAACCCCAGGTTCCTGCACGGAGAAGCTCCTAGTCTAGGGGAAGATTGATGACAAGGACATTCCTCCATAGCTGACAGAGGAAGCCTTCCCCTGGAGCTAACACCCTGAATTTGGACTTTTAGCCTACTTTACCGTGAGAAAATAAATTTGTCTTTGTTAAAGCCATCCACTTGTGGATTTCAGTTTTAGCAGCGGTAGATAACTAAGGCACATAGGATCAAGTCAAAAATCAACAACAAAAACAAAATCAGCAGAAAAAACTTTGCTCTCTTTAGGATCTGATTCATGTACTGACCGTTCCAGTTAAGTCTGTAACCACTCTAGTCCCTACTGATTTCCCTTTTTTTTTTTTTTAAAGATTTTAATAATAACGCTTTGCCTTTTGTATGAGGGTTTGACCTGTCTTCCCAAATAAATGAATACATACCCTAAGCAGTATTTGGAGCCCTGGTGGCATAGTGGTTAAGAGCTGCGACTGCTATCCAAAAGGTCAGCAGTTGGAATCCACCAGCCGCTCCTTGGAAACCCTATGGGGCAGTCCTGTGGGGTCACTATGAGCCGGAATCAACGGCAACAGGTTTTTAAGCAGTATTTACACTGCTTTGATATATTCTTTAATACCTAGGCATTGTGTGTAGTAGGGACTTCACAAATACTCATTGAAAATAATGATTGAATTCCCTTTCTTTTTAGATTCTTCTTTACAACTCTTCCTGCTCATCCACAATTTGGATAGCCAAATGTTGAGAGGAGACAAGAGTCAGCAAATTATCGGGCAGTTGTCATCTTTGCGTAACATATACCTTATAGCTTCTATTGATCACCTCAATGCTCCCCTCAGTAAGTTAAATATTACTATTTTTCTTTCTTGAGATATCCATCTTACACAATTAATTTTCTTAATGTCATAAGTCAGAAAATTTTTACTGTTTTGCAGTACGCTTTTCCTCTGCTACATGTTTAAAGATACAGCTTGTCAAAAAGATAGATATTCTTAGTCTGATTTAGAATATAATTCTTAGAAATAAAATGTCAAATACTAAAAGGGGTGCTTGACACCTAAAATTACATGGGGTGGGAAAGAGAACCAAACTATTATTTTGGTCTCTTTCTGCTCTTTGTGGTATTTAGCATGTAAATAAATACTCAGATGTTGATTGACAATGAAATTAGGTTGTGGGGTACTGATTTGGATGGGGAAGTAGCAGAAATTTTAAATCTCAGGATACATTTTTTATTTAATGCTTTCTCATTCTTTCCTAGAGTGAAATCTAGTAATGACTATGAAAATAATTTGTATTTCCTTATTTTTTTGTTCATATGTCTAGTGTGGGATCATGCAAAGCAGAGTCTTTATAACTGGCTCTGGTATGAAACTACTACATATAGTCCATATACTGAAGAAACTTCCTATGAAAATTCTCTTCTGGTTAAACAGTCTGGATCACTACAACTTAGTTCCCTAATTCATGTCTTACGAAGCCTTACTCCTAATGCAAGGTAAGAATGAAAACCATATTTTCGTTTTTAAAAACTCCATACATTTTGAGATATGCATTTCTAGGTTTTAATGGCAATACTTAAGATCCTAACATATGTTGGAGGATTAAGAGAAATAGTAATAGTTGCCAATACTAGATTATGCAGTAGACAGACTACTCAGTAGTAGTCTGCCAGGTTGCCCAGTAGCAAAGCAGGAGTGCCAACATTTTTTTTTCTTAATAGATTTTGATGGATTTTCGTTGAATTTTATGAGGTTTTTTTTTTGTTGTTGTTGTTATTTATAATTACATATTGAACATTATTATCTAGGCACTGGGTTCTTTACATGAAGTAGCTCATTTGCTCCTTTTTTTTTTTTTAATAATTTACTGTATTTTTGTTGTTGTTGAGAATATATACACAGCAGAACATACACCAGTTCAGCAATTTCTACATGTACAATTCAGTGACATTGATTACATTCTTCGAGTTGTACAACCATTCTCACCCTCCTTTTCCAAGTTGTTCCTCCCCCTTTAACATAAACTCACTGCCCCTTTATTTTCCTATCTAATCTTTCGAGCTGCTGTTATCATTTTGATCCCATATAGATAGATCTTAAAAGAACACAGTGCTCAAGGCAGTCATTCTTTACCAGTTAAGCTAAACTATCATTTGGTTTTAAGAAGATTTCAGGGGATATTTTTGGTTTAAGGTTTAAAGGCTGTCTCAGGGCAATAGTTGCAGGAGTTCATCCAGGTTCCAGAAAGCCTGGATTCCATGAGAATTTAAAATTCTGTTCTGAATTTTCTCCTTTTGATCAAAGATTCTTCTATAGAATCCTTAATCAGAATGTTCAGTAATGGTAGCTGGGCACCGTCCAGTTCTTCTGGTCTCATGGCAAAGGAGGCATTTGTTCATGGAGGTAATTAGCCACACATTCCATTTCTTCCTCCTATTCCTGACTCTCCTCTGTTGCTCCAGGCTAATAGAGACCAGTTAATACCTTTCATTTGATCTTCATTACCACTCTAAGCTTAATGGTAAATGGCACAGAGATTTTGATCCAAATCTGAAATTCATTCATTTTTCATTTCTGAATAGTATTTCATTATGTACTCATACTGTATCCATTCTACTCTTGATGGACTTTTAGATTGTTTCTTGTTTAGAACTATAATGAAGAAAATTGTTAGGAACATTAAACGTTTTATGGTGACCATGTGTAAGTTTATCTATAGTATATTCCTGAGAGTGAAATTATTGCATGATAAGATTGTATCTGCACCTTTTGTAGCTAATATTTCCAAAATGATTGTACATACATACAAGGACAAGAAAATTTCTGTTGTGCTTCCGTAATTGGTATTGTCAGATTTTTTTAACTTGTTAGTCTGGTGGCTATAAGAGCATTTCATTATGGCTTTAATTTACTTTTCACTGATTATAAAATAAGCACTGCTTTGTGTGTTTTTTGGCTGTAAAGACTTCTTTTATGAGGTAGCTATTCTTATACCTTCTACGTATTTTTCTGTTGAATTGTTTGCTGGTTTTAATTGATTTAGAAGAGTATCATATTCGTTATTGTGTTGGTTTCCTAGAGCTGCTGTAAAAAACACCACAAATTGTGTGGCTTATCAGGATAGAAACTTATTATCTCACACTTCTGGAGGCTGAGAATTGGAAATCTGAGTGACAGCTGTGTTGATTCCTTCTGCGGCTTTGAGGGAGAGTCTATTCCATGCCTCTCTCATAGCTTCTGGTAGCTCCAGGCATTCCTTGGCTTGCAGCTGCAGCGTTTTATGAGTCCCTCCTCTGCCTCTCTGTCTCTGTGTATCATCTCAGCTTTTATAAGGACACTAGTCATATATGATTAGGATCCACCCTATTGAAGTATGACCTCGTGTTAACCTAACTAATACTTTCCCCCAAAGACTCTTATTTCCAAACAGGGTCATGTTCACGGGTATTGGAGGTTAGGACTTCAGTGTATCTTTTGTAGGGACCAAAATTCAATCTGTAACATTTATCTATTGTTACATAACAAATTACTCCAAAACTTCATGGCTTAGAATATTATACGTTTATTAACTGATAGTTTCTGTGGGTCTGGTCTATGTGAAGCTTAGGTGAATCCTCTGGCTCAGGTTCTCCCACAAGTCTGCAGTCACCTTAAGGCCCAACTGTGAAGAATCATTGGGTTGTTCACAGGATTCATTTCCTTGCAGGTTGTTGAACAAAAGCCTCAGTTCCTCATGAGATGCTGATGAGGCCTCCCTCATTTCCTTACGTTGTGGGCCTCTCCATAGAACATAATGGCAGCTTGCTTTATTAAAGCAAGCAGACAAGGGGGCAAGAGACAGCATGCTAAGCAAGATAAAAGTCGGTTTTTTGTAACCTGATCATCCATATTTTTGCCATAATCTGTTTGTTAGAAGCAGGTTACTAAATCTAGTCTATACTCAAGGGGAGAGGATTACACAGGAGGTAGGATCACAGGGGGAGGCATGTCAGACACTGCCTATTTTGGATACTATTCCTTTGTCAGTTAATATGTATAACTTTTCTTACCCTGTGGCTGCGTTTTCATTCTCTTTATGATGCCTTTTAATGAACAGAAGTTTTAAATTTTAATGTAATCCATTTCATCAGTGTTTTCTTTGGTTAGTGCTTTATGTATCTTGTTTAAGAAAGCCTTCACTACTCCAGGTCATGAAGATACCTATATTATCTAAAAACTAAAAATACAAAATGTCTTTCACATTTAGGTTTTAATCCACCATTTATTGAAACTTCCTTCCTTACCCTACCCCCAGCTCTTATTTTTTATGTACTCCAAGTTTCCTTTAATGTGTAGGTCTGTTTCTCAGCTGTCTGTTCTATTCCATTGATTTATTTGACGCTACCTACTCTATACCTACTCTAATTCTCATTGTCCTCATTACTACGGTTTTATAATAAGTCTTAATGTCTGGTAGAGCAAGTCCTCACACCTTGATTTCTTTCAAGAGCCTTGGCTAATCTTGGCCCCTGGCATTTCCATGAAAAGAATCATCTTGTCAAGCTTTCCTTTAAAAAGAAAAAAAAACTGCTGGGATTTTTATTGGGATTGCACTGAGTTATAAATCAAATTGGAAAGATTTGACGTCTTTACAATATTGAGTTTTCTAATACATTTATGTACATCTCTTACATAATTTATTAAGCTCTTACATGTTTCTTTCTCCCCATAATTTGCACATAATTTGTTAGTCTTTTTCTTGGATGTTTCCTATTTTTGATGCTATTGTGAATGGTAATTTTTTTTCTAACTTTGTCATTGGTTTATTGAAATAGTTAATTTTTATATATTGATCTAAATAAAGATTTTTTAAAATAATACTTAAGCTGGTAAGAATGTACAGTTATGGGCCCTCAAATGCTGCAGTGGGTATGCCAATTAATAGAAATATTTCCGGAAGGCATTTTTGTAATATGTATCCAGAGTTTCATTGATAAAAGATTTTATGTCTCAAGACCATTCTTATTATCAAGTCTCATTTTACAGAATTTTAGATGTAAAAGATAACAGTAGGCCAAACTGAATATGAACATATCCTAGAAGAGGCTTTTAAAAATATATTCCCTGATTTCAAAAGTTCCTACTCTTTTACCCAGTGTTTTTTCAAAACTGAATAATGTGCAAATCCCTCTCAAGGGACCACCCCACCAAAAAAAATTGATTCAAATAATGTTGCTGTAATATATGCAAACATAAAACTGGATATTTCTCTTTAAGGCTGATTTGTACACTGGAAGATCAGATTAGCATTGCAGTGATATTGAAATACATATTAAATAGGTATCTAATCAAAATTTTTGATTAAATTGGGAGCAGAAAAATCTTCATTCTATTTTTACTATCACACTTACTGCTGATAGACTATTGCAAGTTGCTATGTGTATAAATGTGGGTGTTGGGGTGGTCCATGCAATATAACTACTCACAACATTAAATACGGCACTGACTGCTCTAATGCAAATATCTTTTAGCTTTGCCTACCCAAAATGCCTAACACTTTTTTTTTAATTTAGACTACTTTTAAATTTTGCTTCATTTTGCAAACTCTGATATTATACAGCCTTTACATGGTATGGATGTGATTAATCAAAAATCTTAACTAAAATCGAGCTCTAGAGTCATGTGGTAAAACTTAATCATAAGATGGTCATTCAGATGATCCAGAATTTGCTTACAGTAATTCTTTTCTAGATTATCATAAAAATGCAAATGCAAAGGTTTAATATTGTTTTGGCACACCCAAGGATTCCTGGGAATTTTAATTTGTATAACACTGCTTCCAACCCCATAATTCCACTCATGTACACTTTTCTAAGGAAATAACTCAAAATATGAAAAAATATGTACAATTTTATTTAATGCAGAGTTATTTTTAATAATCTAAAATGGGAGATAATCTAAGCTTCCAAAACCAGTAGGGAAATGATAAGTTTGTGGTATATGGTATAATAGGAAGAGTTTTTTAAAGACACTGAAAAATCAATAAGCGAAAATGCAAGATACACAGTGGTGTATACAGTATGTAAATTATGAGTTTATGTATTTTCACCTTGCCTCATTCCATAAAGATTTGAGATAACAGCATACACAATATGATCTCAACATCAAATATTAGGGTTATGGCTTGATATTTTCCTCTTTTGCCTTTTTTTATATATTCCAAGTTTTCTACAGATGATTAACCTGTAATCAGGAAAAAAAAAAAATACTCCTAGATTTTCCTTAAAAGAAATTTTTTTAAAAGCTGCTGTTTAAGTAGGCAAGGATATAATGCTCCTTGGAGAAAAGAACATAAAATAATGTAGATATTACCTGTGCGTATTTTACAACTGGCTGTTATCTTTTAATGTTAACATTCTGGATTTGAATTCCTGTTTGTATGTTTTTTTCCTTAGGGGGATTTTCAGGCTACTAATAAAGTATCAGCTGGATAACGAGGATAACCCTTCTTACATTGGTATCCAATATTTATGATATTAAATTGTGTGACTTTTGTTTTGCCCCATAAATTCCTTTTTCTGAAAGATAATGATAGCACTGCAGTTTTTCACAGCAGTGAATAAGTGATCTCCAAATGTCACTGCTGAACAGGCTGTTTGCCAGCATGAACTAAAGGACAAACCCAGCTTACTGTTTAAATTTCATATGCTAATTATGGGTGTGTATCCACCAATCACGTATTTTTCATATGCTGGGCATCTTAGAAGATTTTCTTCCCCTTGGGTAAAAATAATGTTTGAATTTAACCAAACATTTTAATAATTGTTCAGCTTCCATCACTTACTAATTCTCTCTTTAAAAGTCAACTTTATCCATGCTGTTTAAAACTGCCCACAGTGTTAGTTATACCTGGTCACAGTTGACTACTTTCAACCAGTTGGTTCTCTTTAAAAAATACAAGCCACAGTGTATAACACCCAAGTGTTCTCTAGTCTTGCTTCTCCTAGAGATATGTACTTTTTTTAATCAATGACACTTATTGACTGCTTTGACATACCATGCCAACAGCACTTTGTTTTGTGTTCTTTGATATGGTTTCCATATATGGAGTCATGTCTTCAATGCTGACTTCTGGTCAAATCTCTTTTTGAACTCTCCAGGACTTTCTTTTCAAGACTTTTACCAGCAGTGTCGGGAGGCATTCCTTGTCAACAGTGATCTGACACTTCGGGCCCAGTTAACTGAATTTAGGGACCACAAGCTTATAAGAACAAAGAAGGTGAAACTCTGATATTGTCACATTATATGCAAAGAATAGTGTTATCTTCTTTATTTAAAGATAAGTTTGCCTTTGACTCCGCCCTGAGTATGAAACTGAGATTCCATAATGGGTCACAAAGATCCACTTAGGCAGTGTACCATCTGAGTTCTTTAGAAAGTGATATGGTAGAAGTACTCTGCTTCAAAGAGAGCAGAAAACTCCTTATGAGTTCTAGTCAAGAGTAATAGGCCATTAGAGATAGACTATGAGTCAGTGAATTCTCTTCTCTCCTTCCCCTCTTCCCTCTGCCCCATTCATTAATTTGGTCTATATTTATTGAGCACTAACTGTATATACCAGATATTGCACTAAGTGTTAAGATACCGTAGTAAGCAAAAACCTAACTCCTTTTCTTATGTAGCTTACATTTCACATTAGTCAAATAATCATACCCGTAAAATACACTTGTGTTAAGTTCTGCAATCAGAAGGTGCATGTAAGAGCATATAATAGGTGGATTTGACTTAATTATGGATATCAGAGGAGACCACTGAGCTGAGATCTAAAAGGAAGACTAGGAGGTAACTAGTCAAAGAGGTAAGGGAAGAATATTCCAGGCATGGAACAGCATGTAAAGCGACCCTGGGGCAGAAAGGAGCATGGTACATTCAAGAAGAAAAAAGGCCAAATGGCACATGATGAGGCTGAAGAGGTAGTGATTTAAGGACTAGACCAGCTAGGTCTTTTAGGCCAAGATCTTTTAATCTTTATTCTAAAAGTAATGCAAAGTCATTATAAGATTGCTCTGACTGATGTAGAGTATAATGGGGCAGAACGGGATGGGGATTGTCAAAAGTGGATGCACAGAGACTAGCTAGAAAGGTGTTATTGCAGTAGTCTGGGTGAGATGATGGTTACTTGGACTAGGGTGAAGAGAGAAAAATGATTGGACTTAAGATATAGTTAGGAGGCAAAATTGACAAGAGTTGATGATAGATTAGATATAGGAGTCAAGGGAAAGGAAAGTGTCAAGAGTGATTCCTGGTTTCTGGCTTTCATAACCAGAGGGATGGGGGGGAAATCATTGGATGAGAAATTACAACAGCAACATTTGGGAGAGGGAGAACAGATCATGAGTTCAGTTTTCGACTTATTCCATGTGGAGATGTCAACTGGTCATTTGGAAACATGGGATGAGAAACCAGCGGAAAAATCTGGGCTGGAGATACAATATCATGATTTGTTTGTATTTATGTTGTAATTGAAGCCAGGCATGAGTGCGACTACCTAGATAGAGAAGGTAGAGTGAGATTAGAGGGCCAGGGACTAAGCCTAGAAGTCTGACATTTAACAGGAAGAAAACCAGGATATGATGTCACAGAAGCCAAGAGAGAAACATGTTTTGAGGAGAAGGGAATGATCAGCCATGTCAGATGTTGCTAAGAGGTCAAAAAGATGAGGGCTGAAAATATCCATTAGATTTAGGAATATGGAATCCTTTGATGGTCTAAGGAGAAACTCTTTTGGTGATGTGATGAGGGCAAAACCAGGTTGGTTGAGTGAGAAGTGAGGAAATGGAGACAGCCATTATAGACAACTCTTTGAGGAAGTTTGGTGGGTGGGGTTGAAGAGTTAGAGTTGGAGACGAATGAAGGAGTCTAGTGAGAGTTATTTAAAATGGGAGACATTTGAACATATTTAAAAGGCAATGGGAAGAACTCAGTTGAAAGAAAGGAAAAAGAACAGATAAATCAATTGTGTAAGGTTTTGGAGATGGCAGGAGGGTGAAGAAATATCTAAAGCACATTGAAGGAAATACCCACTATGAGTCGGAATCCACTCGACAGCAATGGGTTTGTTTTTGTTTGTTTGTTTTTTTGGATCCACCCTCTAGTTAGTCTAAGATTTAAGAAAGTGTTAGTTTTCTTTTCTACTATTAAGTGGTTCAGCATAAACTGACTGTACTTAAATAGGTACATGCCTGTATGGCCTTTTTGCCTTAATTTTTATACTTCTGTATCAAATACCGCATTAAAGAAATCAAGTCCACTTTTTGTTTAGTCTGCAATAGAAATGTTCAGATATATCTCTTATGAATGACTAACATCCATGGTGTTCTTTCGTCTTTTAGGGAACTGATGGAGTGGAGTATTTATTAATTCCTGTTGACAGTGGAACATTGACTGATTTCCTGGAAAAGGAAGAAGAGGAGTCTTGAAGCCTATCCTTTACTTTTGAACCTTCCATAGAAGGGTTGTTGTACTCCACCTGCCACTCCTCTAGTCAGAGGTGTTGTGTTTACATACAACATTATTTTTCCAGTGTACAAGATTTAAATTTGTGGGGAGGGGAATTCCATCCATTAGAACTTTTGGCTAGCCTGTCTGGTGTATCATCTCTAGTGCTGTGCAGCTGTCCTCAAGTTGGAGAAAATGTGCCTTGCATTCATTACCTCTCTGGAGACTTCTTGTTGGAATGAACAGTGTGCTCAGGGACTATTTGGAACTGGATGTTTTTGAATTCTTTTATACTAGAAATATTATTCCTAATTTTTTGAGGGCCTTTTGACACTCCCAAGCTGATTGTTTGCAAGGTTGCTTGTTGCAGTGTGTGGAAGTACAAGACAAGGGCATCATCTGTTCTATTTGCTGTTCTGTGTGTCTGAACTGATGAGTGCAGTAGAGAAAAGAGATGTCTCTGTTTCTGAAATGACTAACAAAAGATGTGGATTGGGAAGAAGTAGGTGATCCAGCTTTCTCCTTTTGGATTTAGGCTACATACTAGGGGGGACAAAAGGGGAGCAGTGACACCATTCAGCTGGGATAGTGGGAAAAGCATAAGGAGTTTATAGGGTATGTACCCAACCTAGGAAGCACATGAACAATAGATCAAGATATTGAGAACAGTTAAAGTCTGTGCCATCACCTTCAGGATGCAAGTGAGATGCCAGGCTAGAGACACAAAATCCTGAATTGTAATTTAGTAACTGTTTTTAAGACAAGGAGAAAATAAAACATTTCAGTATTCTTGTATATTGACATAGTTTTCTTTTCTTGAATAACATGCAGGTGATTATCATATTAATGGCTGGCTTTAAAGATTCTGCTATCAAGTAGATCTAAATATATCACTGTTAAGATATTTCAATTTTTTCTTAAAGTGATCATTTCAAGCCTCCTAAAGATTTATATGAGCCTATTTTCCTAGGAAAGAAAAAAGGGTAACCTTGGCCACTGTTGCCAGCTTAAGTATGCATACTCCCTGAAATACTTCATAGCTGGAAATGAATTTCTTTGTTAAAGTATCACTGTAATAAACTATGTACTGCAACAGCATTTCTCACTTGTTTCTTAACTTGTAAACCCCTTTCATGGAAATACTTCCCAAAACACTTGGAATTTTTTTATCATTTTTTTGTGGTGTGATTAGGTAATTTTATACTAAATCAATCCATGCATTAAAGGTCATACCCTTAAATATAACCACTAATCAAAACAACTAAATTTATACATGAACATGGTTTTTTTTTTAAATTTTAATAGTACCAAAGGAAATTCAGTGAAACGTGAGATTCCCTCACATTTGATGATCCCTGTCCCTTAGGCAACCACTGATAATAGTGTCTCAAGTATTCTTCCAGAGGGATTCTATGCATATGCAAAGATACTTGTCTATATATCTCTCCTTTTAAAAACACAAGTGGGAGCGTATAATACTTACTGGTTTGCACCTTGCTGTTTTTACTTAATATGTTTATAACTGCTACAGTATGAAAAATATAGAAAAACTTTAATGACCTAATGTGCAATTTTTGCATTTGCTCTTAAATATCTAGTGATTTATTTTTATAATTTTTGTGTCCACTATATGCAAACAGTGTGTGTCAATAGTATTTATTATTAATAAAAGCCAATTTGGATAGAAGTCTTTTTTTTTTATTTGCAGTATGGATTTTCCAACTAAAAATATCTTGAAGTGTTCCCTAAGATTTTTATGAGTGTACCGTACAGGTCTGGTGAAGATCTTGGCAGAATTATGATGTTCCTCATTAACTTTTCAGTATCAGTGTTCCTTAAGCTCTGTCAGTTGTTTCGACTGCTAAGGCTCTGATTCCTTGTGCCATGTTACTTGCTTCTGACCAGACTGAATGGACCTTCTGAAACCATGAAAAATCTTCTGTGTGCCCTTAATAAAGTGATACACTCCCAAAAAAGGGGAGGGGGCAGTATGTAGACCAGACATGTTTTACAAACTTGGCACAATACAGAAGTCCTTGTGCCAGGGTAAGCAAAGTTAGTACTTGTAATACTTCAGGAACTGGACTTTCTTAAAATTGTTATTGAATATATGAACATTTCATTCATATGAAAAAATACTGGGTTTAGGAATGGTTAGTAGATGTTGCTTTACTTTTTTAAAAAAAAATTACTAACAGAATTTTTAGAAGTCTCCCTTTTTTCTAGCAAATTTAAATGTGGAACCAGTAGCATTGCTCAGGATGTATTTTCCTATGTTCTAGGAGGTAGGGTAATTCTTCCATCTTAGTCCTGAACAGCCATCAGATGACAGTGAGTCATGGCAGTCTGCCTTATCACAGATTATGTGGCTCTTAAAAACCAGGGATGAGTAAATTGTTATGTAAATGACTTTGTTGGGGGAGGGAGAATGTTGTAAATGACTTTGTTGGGGGAGGATGTTGTAATTATTTGATTTCTCCCTTAGAAAAATCTCCCACATTTTGATTTTTCAAATTGCTGTTAAACCATTTTAATTAATGTTAGGCACTTACTACATAGAAAGCTTTACGCTAGACAGGAGTTGGAGGACATGAAGGTGAAATATGAGATTTTCAATCTATTTTTTTGATGCTTTAGTAACATTAAATATCATTAAAAACATTAAGGTACAGCATCTTTACTGTGTTGAATAAAATAACTTTAAAATGACTTACTGGTGGTATGGAAAACATAACTTTAAACCTGTCAGTATAACATTAAGCTCATTATCAATTTATTAGAATAATTTGATACCACTTAGGCCCCAAGACTTCCCAAGTATTTAGTTCATCATCTTTACCTTTACTACTCAAAGTGTGGTCCTCAAAACGGCAGCATCAGCATTTCTTAAAGCCCTGCCCCTGCATTTTAACTAAATCTCCAGATGTCCACATGCACATTAAAATTTGAAAGAGATACACACGAGCAGTCAACACCCTAAAGTAATATTACCGTTGTAGTTCCAACTCATAGCAATCCTATACGTAACAGAACGAAACACTGCCCGGTCCTGTGCTATGCTCACAAACGTTGCTATGTTTGAGCCCACTGTTGCAGCCACAATGTCAATCCATCTCATTGAGGGTCTTCCTCTTTTTTGCTGATCTCCTTTACCAAGTGTAATGTCCTCCTCCAGGGACTGGTCCCTCCTGATAACATGTCCAAAGTACATGTGACGAAGTCTCACTATCGTCGCTTCTGCAAGGAGCATCCTGGCTGTACGTCTTCCAAGAGATGTTTGTTCGTTCTTCTGGCAGTCCATGGTATATTCGATACTCTTCGCCAGCACCATAGTTCAAAGTCATCAATTCTTCTTCGGTCTTCCTATTCACTGTCCAGCTTTCCCATGCATATGACACGACTGAATACCATGGCTTGGGTCAGGTGCACCTTAGTTCTCAAGGTGACATCTTTGCTTTTTAATAACTACATTTTAGAAAAAGAAGCCCTAGTTGCACAGTTGTTAAGCACTTGGCTGCTAACCAGAAGGTTGGCAGTTCAAATCCACCAGCCACTCTGTGGGAGAAAGATGTGGCAGTCTGCTTCCATTAAGATTACAGCCTTGGAAGCCCTATGGGGCAGTTCTACTCTGTCCTATAGGGTCGTTATGAGTCGAAATTGACAACTTTTCTTTTTGTCGGGATACATTTAGAGAAAGGTAGCAGTTCTGAAAACCTGACAAATAAAATCTTCAATGATGCTTTGTTTTAAAAAACTACAAAGGATATTTTGGGGTTATTTTTACTTAGGAATACAAGCATGCTAAGAAAGAAACAAAAATTTTACTATGTCATTCTTTTTTAAAACCTATTTGGCAATAAGTATGTGTGAGCATAAATTCTTTGATCCATTAACCCCCTTCTAGAATTCTATCCAAAGAAATTAATCCATAACCTTCAACCCCATATGAGATCCTCACTGCCATCACGAATCACCATTTCAGATGAAATTACATCATACCACAAGTGTTCTCTAACAAGAAAAAAGCTTGAGGACCCCGACCCCCAGGCTGTTTTCTTCGGCATCATCTCAGACCATGCCTTCCTTTCCTGACTTGGGCTTTCTACTCTGACAATACTGAATGAATTACTTGGGCTTTTTCCATGTATTATGCTGTTTCTCTCTTCTGCGTTTGTTCAGCCTGTCCTTCTTGACTAAATTCTTTCTCCTTTTACCAGAAAACCTTCCCTATATACCTTATGCATATCCCTAGCACAGTTACTTAAGACAGTGTATAGTAATTATCATCCACATTTCTGTTCTATCCTCCCCACTTTTCTTTGGGCCCAGAACATAGAAAGCAAATGATGAATGACTGAATCAAAAAGCGTTAGATAGTCTCTCAAAGTCTGTCCACTATCTCATTCTCTCCACTTTGACACTGTTTACCACCATACCCCTTGAAGCTTTCTCCTTCTTGGCTTTTGACACTTTGCTGATTCTCCTCCAGCTCCCTAACTGAGGGCACTTCATAATGCTGAGCACTTGTTGCAGCGGGGGAAGAGTCTGAGGTCCTCTCAGCTTGTTTCTCCTGGCATGCAACCACTGCCTCACAACCTGGGGAAGAGATCGCGGCTGCACTATTCTATGCCCAAGATAGAGCCTTCTTTCTGTGAGTAGGGGCTGGGCAGAAGGGAGCCCCCACCTCTTGACCATACTTGCCCAGAAGTAGCTTCAGCAATAGGCAGTTGGGAGGATAAGAAACACTGAAGCCCTGCTCCTCTCAGGAAGAAGCCCTCCTGCTGGGTGCTGTGGAGAGAGTACAGAGTGAGTTTCCACCCCACCGAGCAGGGAGGGAGGAGGGAGAGGTCTTGGTTCAAATGCCACACACTTCCCTTTCTTACTGAATTTTCATGGGGTTTCTTTAATAGATGTTCATTTGCTGTTCATCCTTAGGACCATTTCCAGAGACTTTAAATGTTTGGGTTTTTTTGTTTTGGTAATTTTAACCAGTTTCACTGGAGAGTGGGTCAACAAAGCACCTCATACTGTCATGCCAAAGTTGATCTCTCCATGTGTGTACACACACACACATACATATATATATATATTTTAAATACTGATAAAGCTCATCCTGATTCTGAAATTAGGGGAGATTGGTGATACAGCAACAGCAACACACACATAGACCTTACCACCCCAAAGAGGCTACTAACTAGCAATAAATGTTCCAATCCCCATTTTTTAAGGTATATTTTTAAACTAACCAAAGGCAGAGATAGCTTTAGACCATCTACAATTAAGTAAGGAGAGGATTTACTTGAGCTACTTTCCTAAAGTGTTAAACACAGATTTTAGTCAATCTTTCCTAGACTTTACAATGAATATTCTTTAATATAGTAGCTATGTTACAGTCTTTACCTTAGGAGCTATAGAACATTTGATGAACCAGATTAACACACCAGAAAAAAAATACGCACTCTAAGACACTCCAGAAAGATAACCAACTCCACTGGCTCATGTTACACAACTGAGTTGGGATTCAGTTAATCTGTAGATTGTGTGAATCTCTTGTTCCCGTATGCATTATACCACATGAAGAGGGTCCTTGTCTGTCTCTGACAGGATAATATTAATCTTATTCTCTAAGTGAGCACCCAGCATATCTCGAAGATCAGCAAGAAAGCCTCGTTCAGTGTTGCTGTGCTCACAAAGGATGACATTTATTCCTTGGGAAGCAGCATCCAGAACATCATGATGGGACATCTCACCTGCCAACAAAGGAAAGACCAAATACATGTTAGATACAAAGTCTGTGGAATGCTGAACCGTAACAGAAACACCAAGTTTGCATTCTGTATGAAGTAAACGTAGTACAGAACTAGGTTACATACAAATCTAGAAAGCTGCGTATAGTTTCTCTTACATGTTCCTCAACTGAAAGAGAGCATGTGAGTGTGCAAGCACACGTATCCTACAGAGAATTCCAACTTCTTAGACCCAAGACAAGTATCCACAGTAACTGGCATGTCCAGCAGTGTCTAATACTGCAAAAGCCAGACCTGTAAGAGCACCCTACTCAAGGTGTTTTTACAATAAAAGTAAATGACCATTGCTAAGTAAAACAGAACATTCAGAAAGTTACTTATGTAAGCAATATATATAACAAATAACTCACAAGAAATAACCTAATCATACTTCCCAGGAGAGTCCTTTTAGCTTTGTGAACACCGATATTGTCAGCATCAACCCTAGTGTAACTGAAAAGGATGAAATGAACTTAAGGTATTTCTAGATTAGAAACAGGAATTACTTTCCTTTGACTTAGGCAAAATTCCTAGAAATTCCAAAGTTATTGAAAGAGGACCTCATCTTTTGGGAAAAGATTTTGACAAAACACAGATGTTTTGAATTTTGAAAAACACCACTGGTAAATTTCATGACTTCTAATTTAAGAGCAAAAATGTACTGTGTACAATTTAGTTCATCAAAAGCATAATTCTGAAATATATTTACACATGAAAGCATAAAAAACTCAAGAAAAAGTTCTTAGGAAAATAGTTTTTTCCCAGAAATTTTCAATCACCTGCACTCTCTCCCCAGTATATATCATTCCACTATAAGGAATACTTTCTATTTAAGCACCTTTTAAAACATTTTAGTTTATAATAGCGAAGATATATAGTAAAAGGAGGAAAGACATTAAGGTGGCCTAGTTAGAAGCCATGCTTTAGGAAGGACAAATCTAGATGCCTGGGCTATTAAGTGCACTGGCTGGAAAAGGTATGAAAGTGGGGGAATCTATGAAGACATTGCAATAATAGCTGAAGGCAAAGTAAAGGCTCAAGATGGCAGCTGAGGGAGAGAAAAAGCAAATGAAAGCGCACAAGACACAAGCATGTGAAATAATTAGTACACTTTCAAGGAGCAAGCACCCCGTCTGCTGGTCTTTATAGGGTACTACATTTAGTAACCTAATACTATGAGAATAAGGCCTCTAGCGCCATCGGATGGGCAATGAACTTCATCAGAGGCCCATATTTGGTAAATGCAATATATTATCCTAGATTGTATAATCTATTCCCATCGAGCCGATTCAGACTCATAGCTACTCTTTAGGACAAAGTAGAACTGCCCCATAGGGTTTCCAAGGCTGTAAATCGTTAAGGAAGCAGACTGCCACATCTTTCTCATGCAGAGCAGATGGTGGGTTCGAACCACAGACCTTTTGGTTAGTGGCCAGGCGCTTAACCACTGTGCCACCAGGGCTCCTTCCTGGATTGTATATGGATCAGAAAAAGAAATGCTATAAAAATGTAAATGTGAGCTATATGTTAATCTTGAAACAACAGTAAGTTTCCTGCATTTGATAATTGTTCCAGGTCATCTAAGAGAATGTTCTTGTTCCTACAAGGTAAATGTTGAAGTATTTAGGGGTGATGGAGCCCTGCACTGGGCTGCTAACTGAAAGGTCAGCAGTTCAAACCTACCAGCTGCTCAAACCCACCAGCTGCTCCACAGGAGAAAGATGTGGCAGTCTGCTTCCGTAAAAATTATAGCCCTTGAAAATCCTATGGGGCAGTTTTACTGTGTCCTACAGAGTTGCTATGAGTCGGAAGCAACTCAATGGCAACGGGTTTAGTTTCGGGTTTATTTAGGGGTAAAGGGTCATGTCTGCAATTTACCCAAAAATGGTCTGGGAGAAAATTTATATAAATACACACATACACAGGATGTACATAAAAAAGAGACAACATGTATATACGTGGCAAAATACAACCATTAGTAATCTAGGGGAAGGGCATACAGGAGTTCACTGTACTACTGTCATGGATTGAATTGTGTCCCCCAAAAATATCTGTGAACTTGGCTAGGCTATGATTCCCGGTATTGTATGATTGTCTACCATTTTGTCATCTGAGGTGATTTCCCTGTGTTGTAAATCCTATCACTATGATGTGATAAGATGGACTAGCGGCAATTATATAGAGGAAATCTACAAGATTAGTATCTTAAGCCAATCTCTTTTGAGATATAAAAGAGAGAAACAAGCAGAGACATGATAACCTCATACCAGCAAGAAAGCAGCACCAGGAGCAGAACACGTCCTTTGGACTTGGGGTTCCTGTGCAGAGAAGCTCCTAGTCCAGGGGAAGATTGACAACAAGAACCTTCCTCCAGAGCTGACAGAGAAAGGCTTCCCCTGGATCTGATGCCTTGAATTTGGGTCTGTAGCCTACTAGACTGTGAGAGAATAAATTTCTCTTTGTTAAAGCCATCCACTTGTGGTATTTCTATTATAGCAGCACTAGATGACCAAGACTATTATTTGCAACTTTTGTATAAGACTGAAATTTCTTCAAAATAAATTGTGAAAATTAATTTAAAAATAATCACATATGATGGTGTAAGATATTCAGTCAAATTCCCTATATACTCAAAGTTTCTTTCCATCTGGTGCAGGTTTGAAGGCTTGTAAAAATCTTTCAAAAATAGAAAACAGGTCATAGTCGTGTACATTTTCAATTTATTGCTTGAGAACAATTACATCAGGCTTGCTCAGATGGTGCACCCCCATATTTGTGGATGTTACAATACTTTCAGGGCAGCAGCCTTTATAAGATGGTGTGGTGGGTAACAGTACGCATGTGGGAGGAGGAGAAGTACGCATGTGGGAGGAGGAGAGGCACCGAAGGAGCCAAGGGAGTGGCCAAAGGGGTTAAAACCCTAGAACTTGGTCCTAGAAGCAGGAAAGTTAACTCTTTCACTCTCTCCTAACACTAAGGAGGAATAGAAGTGGAAATACAGCTGATAGCATCAGGTGTACAAAGTGGGTACCCTTTAAAATGCCTCCAAATGCCTTGGAGAACGATGAGCCATGTTTGGCCATATTCTGAGTAGTAACTATGTCAAGTAATTCTTTCAATAAAAATTCAGCCAGTACCTAATAGGTCTTATCTTCAAGCCTAGGGAGCCAAGCTAACAAGTAACTACTGTCCAATGGAAATGCATACTGGAGGCTAAGGACAGTGATAAGGATCCAAGAGGAAGGCATGACCATCAGGGTCAGGATGGGGACAAAACCAACCAAACCTGTTGCCGTTGTGTCGATTCTGACTCATGGTAGAACTGCCCCATATTATTTCCAAGGCTGTAAATCTTTATGGAAGCAGACTGCCACATCTTTCTCCTGCGGAGTTGCTGGTAGGTTCGAACCTCCGACCTTTTGGTTAGCAGCCAAGAGCCTTCACCACTGAGCCACCAGGGCTCCTTTAGGATGGGGACAGTGTCAGAAAAAGGTTCTCAGAGAAGGCAGTCTTTAGCTTATCACTAGAAGTACAAAGAAAGGGGCAAGGAAAAGGCATTATAGGCAGAAGAAATAGCATAAGCAAAGACTGAATGAAAGAGGATGAAACGTTCAGACTTCATCAGGACAGATGAAGGAAATCACTGAAGGTTTTTTCAGCCAGAATACACCATCAAATTTGTACTGTTGAAAGTGAATTTTAGGGGAGTGTGTGGACTATAAGATTAGAGATTTGATGCAGTACTTCAGATGCCTGGATAAAGATAAGGGAAATGTTCTAGAAAGATTTTGAAGCTAGAACTGATAGGAATTGATGACTGACTGAAATAAGGCTGAGTAAGAAAGAGGAATCAGTTTCTAACTGACATGAAATCTGAGAAGTCAGGTTTAGGAAGAAGGTGGCTGTGTGCCATCGAGTTGATTCCAACTGACAGTGACCCTATAGGTCAGAGGAGAACTGCCCCCATAGGGTTACCTAGGCTATAATCTTTACAGGAGCAGATCGCCAGGTCTTTTCTCCTACAGAGCAACTGATGTGGGTTTGAACCACTGACCTTTCAGTTAGCAGCCAAGTGCTTAATCATTATGCCACCAGGGCTCCTTAGGAAGAAGGCAGGTTAAATAAATGGTGAACGTCAATTTTAGAGACAATCTAATAATAAACTATTAAATGATTTCGTCCTTCCACAAAAAATACTGTATGTCCCCCAATTCTGGTGTAGTTGCTTTTTAGTTCAGGTTCAACAAACATTTATTAGATACCATCTATGTGCCGGGTGCTGTCCTAAAATCTGCTGTTTTTAAATTTGTAAAAAATAAACCAGCGTGGGATAAAGGTACGGAAAAAAGGGATAGCAGAGTTACAAAGGCTGTCCTACCTGTGAGGTAAAGGTCGGCCTCTGCACCCTGCAGAACACTGCTCCCAGAACCAGCACACAGGGCCACGACTCTGACTTGGGACTCTTCAAGGTAAAGGGAAAAAGAGACCAACACATTACAATTTCCCTTCATTTTAATATTATAATTTGTACTGAGAATCCTGAATGAAATGCAGATTTCACTCCTGGTCTCATCAGTATGAATTTTGCTTACTAACTTTTAGGTATCTTAGGTATTGCATAACTATCCCAAAGCAGGGATAGTTGTTACCCCTTTGGACGTGGCTGCGCAAACCCAGATAGGGCAACTACTGAATGGTACTAATGCCCCGGCTCTAGGCTTCATCGCAGTGCTGCAAGGCACAGTAACTTAACCTGGGTCTCCAGATGACAGTGAGAGATAGGCAGGTACTCCCTATTCTCAGGTGAGGAATCGGAGGAACAAAAAGGGCTCCTTAGAAACAGGAATGCTAGGAAGTGATTTGTCACATATTTTTTAATCTAGTATTTATCCTCAAAGAGCATCCTCTGAAGAGTGAAATAACACAAACATTCAAGCCAAAATCCAACAAGCACTTAGCACTTAGGTTTCTGGAATGGACAGTTTAATGCTCACTCCAGTCTGGCAGCATGGTACTTCAAAAAAAGGCTTGGAGTTGGATCAGAAGTCAAATCCCACCTCTGCCATCCATCTTCTTTGGAAACTAACTCCCCTGAGTTGTTTGATCTGATTCTGAACTTTTGGAGAAGTTATTTGAGCTCTCTGAACCCTCAATTTTTTTCCCTATAAAGTGAGAATACCACCTCCAGGTGGCATTTACTGTACTTATGTGCACCAGTCACTGTGCTATGTGTATCATGTGGGTTATAATACCACCACTATGAGGTTTTAATATTAATGCAATTTTACAGAGGAGGTGACTGAGACACAGAAGGGTTAAATAATGTGTCTAAAGTTATAGAGCAAATAGACAGGACAGACAAATATGAAGCCAGGTCGTCTGACTTCAGAGCCCACACTCATAACCACTAGGCTCCACTGCCTTTGCAGCGGGAGCTAACATACTTCAGAAACTCAGCACAGTGCAAGGCTTACTACAGGGGTCCAACAAGTGTTCTGTTCACTCTTTGTTCCCAAAAGTAGTGGGAAAGACCAGAGAAAAGACAGTGGTTATGAAAGTCAAACTGCAGTGGACCAAATCACTTAGCAGCACTTCACTATACAATATTACCAGTATTGTCAAGTTCAAGATGCGTGTTGTAATTGTAGCAATCATTATTTCTAGCTCTCTCCTTGGCACGTGGTAGGACTGCACTTCATGCCCTCCCTCGGCTGTGCTGGGCAATTTACTAATTCTGGATGATGAGTTGAACATAAGTAACATGTATCATTTCTGGACTGGAGTTTTTAATTGATGGTTTAAGATCCTCTAGAACTCTTTCTCCCTCTGCAACAGCGACCAATTTATAATGAGCAGCCAGACTTCCCCTGCTGACTTGAGATGAACATGCAGTGTTACTGAGAAGTAAATCTTGTGGTTTAAGCCATTGAGATGTATACCACAGCATAACCTAGCCCATCCCAATCGATAAAGTAAACCAATCATCTCCCATGAGCTGCTAGCATGTTTTCTATCCCTTACATTAATATAACCAAAAGTTTCACCTTTGCCCAATGTTATCAGTGGATATACTGGCAAAACAAAAGAGGTATATTTACCTAAGGTCCTCCCTACACCAAGACTAAGGCGAACATGAGATAGTTTTAAGTGCCTCTTGATTCGCTCAACCATAGTTGCTAAGGAGACAGATTCATCCAGTGTACACAGCCGTCCCATTCCAGTATGTAGAAGCAGAGGCTGAAGAGAAATCGAAGTTAGAAACACTGTTACAGAACAAACATCAAATGCTGATGAATAAAACATGTACACTGCAAGCTCCAGGCTAAAATTTGGGGATGCAAACCTGGCAAAAAACTTTGTGACTTCTCAGAGCACACAGTCTCCTGGGAAGGCAGAAATTTAAATAAATAATCACAACCAAAGTGCTTTAATACAAGGTAAGTGCAATTGTTGTGGGAGCACAAAGGAATGACAAGCTAAATGAGCTGGGATTTGGGGGGTGGAGGGGAGGAGCCTGGAGGAACCAGGATCAAAGTATCACAAGGACTGGGGTCTTGAACCAGAAAGGAATTCAAAAAGGAATGAAATTAAGTGCAGTGTGGTAGGGGAGGGTGAGAATGTAGAAAACATTCTAGACAGAACGTGTACAAAAGGGCCAGACATGTTCGAGAGCACATTGTAAGTACGAGGTCCAAAAGTAGACAGTGTGGCTGGTGTGCAGTGTGTGATGGCGAAGGAGAGGAGCTAGAGACCTGGGCTGCAGCCAGATCATTACGGGCTTCATATGCTACGCTCAAAAGCCTGGACTGTCTCCTGTAGGTGCCCAGTTAAGAGACTTAATACTCCAAGTGAGGGAAGATGAATGTTTCAACTAATGTGGTGGCAGAGCTAATAGAGAAGAGAAACATTTTAATAGATTTGGGGACAGAATTAGCAGAGCTTGGGTTTACAGGGCAGAAGAAGCATTGTGGAAACTTGAAAAATAAAGTAGATGATGATGCCAGCAATGAAATAGAAAATAACAAAAGAAAAGACTTAAAGCTGGAAGAAGCGAGGCTAAAAAATAAAGTCAATTTTTTAAAATATATTGGATTTGAGATACCTGGGGGATCTTTAAGTGGAAAATGTTCAGAAAGTTGTTGGAAATGTTGGAAACGGGTTTGTTTGTCTGCGTACATTAAGAAGCATTCTGAGCCAGAAAGTGAAGATGTAGGACTCATCATCATACGTATGGCGTCAAGTTAAAGGAATGAATGCAAAGTCCAAGCAGAGGGTCTAAGACAAAAAGAGTCCAAGTCTGTAACCCTGAAGAAACACCTATTCCTAGAATGTCTCACTCCCTCTAGGTTTTCTACAGTATATTATGCCCTCTTTGTGCTTCTTTAGGTAACAGTAAATAGCCTGTTGATCTAATAATTTACAAGTGTATTTACTGAACAAAAATGTACAGTAATTAAGATCAAATATAAGAATTTTTATTACCTTCTCTAGTGACAGAATTTCAGTTTTCTGGTAAAGTTGTTTGTTTTGGGAGAGAAAAACAACCACCTGCAGCAGAGCCTCCTGAGTACAATTCAGACTGACACGTGTTTGTTCTTCATCATCAGACCTGGGGAGAAAATTCCTCCTTGGTTTATAACAAACAAAATGTATTTTAAATAATCTACAGTTTACAGCCTGCTATAACAGAGCTAGGGATTTTACCAGAAAAACTCATTCAATCACAAACCAATCTATTCTCTAATAGTGGTTCTCAAACTTTAGTGTACATCAGAATCACCTGGAGGACTTACTGGAACACAGATTGCTGGGCTCCAGCCCCAGAGTTTCTGATTCAGTAGGCATGGGTCGGGCTCCAAAAGATTCTAACAACTTCCCACTAGATGCTGATGTTGCTGGTCCAAACAAAAATCCAAACCAATTGCCACTGAGTTGATTCTGACTCACAGTGACCCTATAGGACAGAGTAGAACTGCCCCATAGGGTTTCCAAGAAGCAGCAGGTGGATTTGAACTGCCAACCTTTTGCTTAGCAGCCAAGCTCTTAACCACTGCGCCAGAAACCACTGTTTTAGAACTATTCTTCATCCTGACTACATATCAGAAACCTTGGTAGCTTCTTAAAATGATAAGTGCTGGACCTTTCCTTCCATAGATATAGTGAAACAGAACAGCTAAAATTGGGGCTAGGGCAAACCAAACAAATTTTAAAGCCCTAGAGAACTTAATTTTCAAACATTTTTGAATGAAAAAATCTCCTGGGCAGCTTTTTAAGATGGAGATTCTCAGGTAAACCCATTCTAATTACAAAGATCTAGAATGAAGCCCAAAATCTGCATTTCTAATAAGCACCCTATTAACAATGACACAGGGCTCCTCTGAGAAGCAATGCCATACACCGTCTCAAATAAGGATGGCATCAAAAACATTTTACATTTAACCATAAACTCTATATAAAATAACAGAATACTAGAATTAATGACACCATAAAGATAACTTTGAAGAATAATTTTCAACATTAGAATTATCTACGGAACTTTTAAAAAAAAAGAAAAACAATGCCTAGACTCAAACCTAATGGTTAAGACTCGGGCAGTCCTCTGTAATGTGGAAAAACTGGAAAAAAACTAAATGTCTATCAGCTTCAAAAAAAAGTCCACCTGTAGGAAGAGGAATGCGTAAAGAAACTACAGCATACCCACAGTAAGAAACACTGTCCAGCAGTTTAAAAAAATGAGGTCAATATACTTACATGGAGAGGTCTCTAAGACATCCTGTTGAATAAAAAAAGCAAATAGAGCATACCATTTAATTAAGAAAGCAATGCATAAAACAAAACTGTGCATTTCTTCATGTCCCTAAATGTGTTTGGAAAGATACCCACTTCTCTGAAAAAAGCGAAGACAACCTGAGTTGAGGATACTGAGACTGAATAGAAGGGACAAGGGGAACTTTTGTATTGTTTGAATTTTTTATGGTGAATTCTTCATCCATTATTTGTATAATTAATTTTTTTTTTCCACAGTACTTCAGTATGTTAAAAACCTCAGGACTGAAATCTACTCAAAGTCCCATAAATAATTTTTCTTAAGATTCTTAAATTCCCCAAAATTATTCCAGGGTGTTTGCAATGATTTTACTATAAGGAATCTATACTTAAAAAAAACCACTCATCACACTACAGGACTAAACCAAAAGCTAAGAAGTTTCCTGAACACAACCAAACACTTCAAGGTACAGTGTAGCAGGTGCAGAGTCTCGGGTCCATGGTTTCAGGGGACATCTAGGTCAACTGGCATAACAAAGTTTACTAAGAAAATGTTCTGCATCCCACTTTGGTGAGTGGCATCCAGGGTGTTAAAAGCTAGCGAGCAGCCGTCTAAGAATTATCAATTGGTCCCAATCCACCTGGAATAAAGGAAAACGAAGAACATCAAAGACACAAGGAAAATACTCGCCCCACAGACAAAAGGGGCCACATAAACCAAAGACTCCATCAGCCTGAGACCAGAAGAACTAGATGGTGCCCAGCTACCACCAATGACAGCCCTGACAGAGAATACAACAGAGAGTCCATGATGGCACAGGAGAAAAGTGCGGTTCAGAATTCAAATGTACGTAAAAAGGCCAGACTTAACAGTTTGACTGAGACTGGAGGAACCCCAGAAGACATGGCCCCAGACTCTCTGTTAACCTGGAACTAAAACTATTCCCCAAGTCAACTCTTCAGACAAAGAACAGACTGGACTATAAGCCATAAAATGATACTCGTGAAGAGTGTGCTTCTTAGCTCAAGTAGACACACAGTTCCTGTCCAGAGGCAAGATGAGAAGGTAGAAAGGGATAGGAGCTGATTGAATGGACACAGGAAATCCGGGATGGAAAGGAGGAATGTGTGGTCACATTATAGGGACAGCAACTAGGGTCACGTAACAATGTGTGTATAAATTTTTGTACGAGAAACTAACTTGAGTTGTCAACTTACACCTAAAGCACAATAAAAAAATAAAAACCGCTCATCAAAGAGAGAACTTTTTGGTGTAGCTCAATATAAGTTTCAATTATATCAAAAAGTCATTGTATTTATCTTTGTTTTTTAAACAATTAAGTCCTAGCTTTGTATAGCTTGGCTTTTATGATGCTTCAGTAAGTATTAGATAAATTAGCCTAAAAGAAAATCTCTTATGAAGAGATTTTGGTATCTCTGCCCTAAATAACTTAATGATTGACTTTTAAAGTGCTTGGGAATCACTGATTTGCTGAGACCTGATAAAAATCTTATGTTACTAGTAAATCACTAGGCTCTATTTGCATTTTATAAAGTAAAACAACTACCTTCCAGCATTACTAAGAGGATGAGAAATACTGTATGTAAATGCATAGTCCCTCCCACACAGAAAGTACTCAGTAAGTGTTATTTGTCATTTGCATTGTTTTGAAAATTCCATACTTCTCCTCTGTTAGGACCCACATGTAAATGACAAGACACTTTGTAAACCCACTCTCGGGGAAAACAATTTGAAACCTAAATACCAAGGTTATAGATTTTGTAAAGATCCTCACAAAGAGAAAAATAGATTGTACCTAGCGGAAAAAGATGTGACAGAAACATCTTTAATTCCTTTCACTGCAGAAATAACTTTATCCAGATCTTGGGCGTGGTTAACGCTGAATTCTACTCGGTGTGTTCCCTCTGTGGGGTAGTTGGGAGCTTTGGAAGGATGTATGGGGTGAGAGGTACAAGCTCCTAGAAGAAAAAATGTGGGAAAATGGAGGGTTTTTTTTTTTTTCTCCTTAAGATAAAAAAGTAAGATAACCTATTATGGGCAAAATTTATAAGAAATAAGTTTTTTTTTTTAAAAAAAGACTTTCATTTTCTTATGTAATATACACACATATAAACTCACCAATAGTCTCCATAATCTAGGCATTCAGAATGGATATGTAAAATCAAATTTATTTTCAAATTATTTCCCAGAAGGCTCTTAAATACCAAAAATACTTGGACAAGACTGACTCATGGAGTTTAAACTGATACGCAGAAATGTCTACTGCTTGGTAAATCTACTTATGTAAATCATGATTCCAGCTGCAAATTCCCATAATCTGTTTGGCCACATTAATCCAGACCATATCATCATAAAAGCTTCAGCCAAAAATGAGTAAATGAAAAAGATTTATTAAAATAAAGCCAGAACAAAAATGCTGAATTCCCTCATTGTGCTGGGCATAAGTAAGCGTTCAATAAAACCCTAATGTCTCTGACGTATGAAATATATTTTGGAGAGGCCTAAGCTCTCGATACAATTTAACAAGCATTTTTTGAGCACCTAGTTTTGAGGCACTGTGCCACATTAATGGGGAATTAAGCAGCTTAGTCCAGCAATCAAGATTTCCAATGCTCTCCTTATTCATTAAAGATAAAAATGTTTCATTTTTCAAATGCAATTTAATTGCCAGATCTCAGCAACATTACTTTTTAGCCACATTCTTTTAAAATACATTATATAAATGTATTTTAATTTTTTAAATAAAGCAGTTAAAAGTTCACTGGAAAGGCATTCTAAATTTTCAAAGCATTTGTACAGATTAAATATGAAGAAACAACAGGCTTCTCACCAAGTCCTTTAGCCAACCAGCTGTTGACTCCCTGGGGAGCAGCATCATAGGCTGTGTGAGGAGAATAGATACCGACTCTATTCTCCAGAGCCCGGATCACCAGGCGCTCCTTCCAGGTGTTCCAGGTTATGCGCTTCAGGGGTCGGAAAACAGGAGGATGGTAGGAAAGAATGAGATCCGCCTTCTTCTGCAGTGCCTCCTCCATCACTTCCTCGGTCAAGTCATTGGTCAGGAAGAGCGTGTTTACAGTATGTGGTGGGCTTGGCTCTACCAGTAATCCAACATTGTCCCAACTCTCAGCAAATGAGAGGGATGCAAAGTCATTCAAGGAGGAAATGAGAGTTTTCAAATCCATGAAGGAACGAGAAGTGCAGATCAGGGAATGGTTGAGTTGGACTTTCCTGGGGACCAGACGTACACCAGATGACAACATACAGAAATCAGGAAAAGCTGAGTATCTGATGTGACAAAAAAACAGAGAGTGGCACACATGTACACATTAGGCCTAGGGCTTTAACCAGAAAGCATACGGGCAAAAGAGCTGCAGTCGCACAGACCTGGGTTCAAATACTGGTTCTGCTACTTACCAGCACATGGTATCTTGGGTAAGTCATTTAACTTCTCTGAGCTTGTTTTCTCATCTGCAAAATGGAGATACTACAATCTATCTCATAGGCCACCTGAGAACCAAATGAATTAATATACGTAAGTCACCTAGCACAAACCTAGTACATAATATACAAATGTTTACCACACACACACCCCCTTGCTCTTGTTCTCCTCACCCCTGCCCTCAAGCACCCTCCTCCCTTCTCCATTTCCCTAAGTATTTTCCTTCCTTCCAAGCCCACTTCAACTTTCTACATAAAGCTTTTCCTGACAAACCTCTCTTTTCAGTGCCCCTCTTTTGTATTCTCATAATGTTATCTTCCTGTTGTCTCCCCCAGTATGCTAAAGCTACTTGAAAATGAGAACTATGTCTTCTAAATCCCAGTATCACCAGCATAGGCAGGTAGTAAATGTCTACTCATCGAATGACAGTCTCCTCCTTCCTTGCAGAATTTGGAGTTAAAACCAAAAAAACAAACCCACTGTTGTGGAGTCCATTGTGACTCATAGCTACCCTACAAGAGAGTAGAACCACCCCATAGGGTTTCCAAGGCTGTAAATCTTTACGGAAGTAGACTATCACACTTTCTCCGTCAGAGCAGCTGGTGGGTTTTAACTACAACCTTTCAGTTAGCAGCTGAGTGCTTAACCACTGTGCCACCAGGGCTTCTTAATTTGGAGTTAGGATGGTACATATTGGCAAAAGTGCTTTATCAGCAGCCAGAATCATGGGATACATTAGTGTGGGTCACTCTACTGAAGGGGCAGGACCATGGCCAGGAAAAGGCAGGAGCTCTTGCCCCGAACCATTAACACCTGCTGCACAAAGGCCACACTCAAGAGGGAGGAGAGCTAATGGTGTAGGGTACCTAGCCCATACAGCCTGGAAGCTTCTAGACATCTACATGCACCAGGAATTCGAAAGGTTAGCAAAAAACGGAAGAAAGGTGGAGGACAAAAAAGACAATGGTGGAGCTGGGAAAAAACTGTTGGCTCTAAAATATGAAAAGTGAAAAATTAAAATCAGTAAATGTTTAACCAAATAACTACAAAAAAATAACACTGTCAACTCTGTTCTTAAAGTTAGTATCTATAAAAATTTTTTGTTTTGGAAGAAAAGCATCTTCAAGTATGCACAACAATTAACAACATAAAAATTTTTTAAAAAACCCATTGCTCTCGAGTGAATTCTGACTTGTAGCAACTCTCTAGCAAAGGGTAGAACTGCCCCATAAGGTTTCCAAGGCTGTAACCTTTAGGGAAGCAGGCTGCCACATCTTTCTCTTGCTGACTGGATGGTGGGTTCCAATCGCCCACCTTTCAGCTGCAGCCACATACTTAACCACTGCACGACCAGGGCGCCTTAACAAGAAAGCACAGCCAATTGTAATGTAGTGAAACATTCAGAACCCAATGATTTCAAAGAAAAAACTTTTTTTTCTAACATTTTTACAGCAGAAAGTATTTCATTACGATATGGGTACTTATTCAACATGGTTTGAAGTGGTGTGAGGCCTCGAAAAACCACGGGAGCCTGGGGACACGGAACATCTAATGTTACCACGTCCACTCTCCAGATTCTTCTAAGTTTAGCAAGTGATAAAGTGAAGTCCCAGTGGGCCACCACGCTGGTTTTGAGTTATTTACTGTTGTATATGAAAGAGATCGTGGAAACAACATGATGGAAAATCCCCATTTCATAGATTAGGATACTGCGTGGCAACGTAGCTTCAAGCAGCAATTAACGACAATGAGAGGCAGCATAGCTGGTGGTTAAGAGCACTGACTCTGAAGCCAGACTGAACCCCAGAGCCACAGCTGTGAACCATGGGCAAATTACTCTACCTTTGCAGTTTCCCCGTCTGAAAAAAAAAAAGTAAACAATAGTGCCTAGCTGATACGATTGTCACGAAAATTAAAAGGTGAAGTGCCGCGAACAGTGACTGGCCCAGAGTAAGCACTGTAACTGCTACTGTTAAGGACCATTAGTGAGTCCCACCTTCCAAAACTGCTCCCTCTTACGTTACGTCATCTACGCCTCATTTCAGTCCCACCGCAGCACCTTTTCCTGGGCACTGGAGAGCGCCAGGTAGCACAGCCAGTAAATCCCGGAGTCAGGACCCCAGCCCTATGCTCTCCTGCGGCAGGCCAGTTCTCTGCCCCAACCTCCTCCTCCGCCTCCTTTCCCTACATTCCCACAACCATAGGTTACCCTAACCAGGAACCCTGGTGGCTGCAATGGTTGAGCGTTCGGCTGTTAACTGAAAGGTGGGCTATTAGAACCCACCAGCCGCTCTGCGGGATAAAGATGTGGCAATCTGCTTCCTAAAGATTACAGCCTTGGAAACCGTATAGAGCAGTTCTACTCTGTCCTACAGGGTCACTATGAGTTGTAATCAACTCCTCAGCACAAAACTACCCTAACCAGGCTCTGCCTCTAAGACCTCAACCACCCACAAAGGTTTTTAAACAGCCCACGACTCACCGGTCTTGGAAATTCACCCGCCATGCGTAATTTCCGGTACTGCATGGGCGCTCCCAGCGTTGTGGGATTGGGCCGAGAAAAGGAGCTGAACGGAAGTGGTCCTCGCCGTTTTACTGCGGAGACCAAGGCATTTCTAGAGGTGGCTCAAGATAGTTCCGGGTTACGCTTCTTGTTCTAGTGTAATTATTAAGAGCTCCTTTTCACTGTCAAGTGTGTTCTATGGTCCCCCTATTTCTAGTCGATTTGGTTTGAGCCAGGTAGAGGCGGAGGACTGGGGCGGGAATTGAGATAAGGGGCGTCCTCTAATGGGCCCCTCGCCCAACTTCCGGCGGTGCAAAGAAACTATTATTTCCAGCCAACATACTTATGCGGACATCACCGGTTGCATCTTCTCTGTTTTATGGAACAGCTGTGCTTAACTGAAGTGGTGAAGTAAGTATTTAAAAAAAAAAAACCATTGCTGTCGGGTCGTTTCCGACTCATAGCGACCGTATAGGACAGAGTAGAACTGCCCCGTAGGGTTTCCAAGGAGCGGCTGGTGGATTCGAACTGTAGCCGTTTTGGTCAGCAGCCTCTTAACCACGGCGCCACCAGAACTCCGAAGTAAGTAGAGACGCCATTATTCCTTTCATTAACTTATTCAAATGCTTGGTGAACGCTATTTGATAGGCACTATTTTACTTCTTGCAGCCCTGGTGGCGCAGCGGTTAAAAGCTTGGCTGCTAACCATAAAGGTCGGCAGTTGGAATCCACCAGGCGTTCCTTGGAAACCCTACCAGGCAGTTCTGCTGTGTCCTGTAGGGTCACTATGAGTCGGAATCGACTCGACGGCATACTTGGGATAGTTCTTGGGATACTTCCGAGTTAACATTCGGGATTGGGGTGTTGTTGGACAGACATACTTATTTTAAAAAAGTATGTAGTATGTTGGTGTAGGTGTGATGGGAAAAGGAAATAGGGCAGGTAGGAGGGTTAAGACAATTGTAATAGGGTCTACAGGTCAGTGAGACCTGACATTTGAGTAGACTGCGAGGTGAGAGAATCAGCCGTACTGGTGTCTAAGTGTAAGCGATCCAGGCAAAGGGAACACCGAGTGCCAACACCCTCAGGCGAGGGAGTGTTCCGGACTTGTTCGTAGACTTGCAAGGAGATCTGGAAGAAGGCTGAGAGAGGGCAAGTAGGAAATTCGGTGGCTGAAAGCTGGTAGGGTTCCGAGGTTGTTTCTTGTTAATATACAGTAAAGATGAGCAAGTGTGAGTTAAGAAAAGAGGAGAAAGAACTTCTCTCTCTCTTTTTTTTTTTTTACGAATAGACTCACTTTCTCAGAAGCACTGTGATAAATTAAGTAACAGTACTTCCTGAAACCATCAAGAAGAATGGTAAGTTTTATAGAATTCTTATGAATGCTTATAATTATAAGTAAGTTTTAGAAGTCCAGTCAAGGGAAATAAAATTGCATGAAAATTTCAGCACCAAGTTGGATGAAAAATAAGATGTAGAGGCATACTGTGTAGAATGATTCAAACAAAAACATAAAATAGCACAATTATTTTTAAATTCTTTAATGTTTTCTCTTAAAATGCACAGAATTTGCCTTTAATGGAAAAAGATTATAAGATGGAAAGGGGGAGTTGGAAGAGCAGAAGAGTATAACCAAGTATGCTAAGCTCTGGTGATGCAGTGGTTAAAGCACTCAACTGCTAACCAGAATCCACTTTACTGCAGTGGGTTCTAAGGTGGACAATTTCAAGTAGAAGATAAGCAATGAGTATAGTGCCCTGCCCCACCCCCACCCCATCCTCTATCTTCCACCTGGCCATCATACCTCTTAACTGCTAGATATTATTGTAAGAAGAAGAGAAATGAAAAAGGAAGCCTTGGAATAGTTTTCCCCTTCTCTGGAATGGGGTAACAAAGAAGTATACAAGCTACCAAAAACAAACAGATGCTACTCTAGCTCTACAAAAACAAACAAAAAGCCAGTAAGAAAGAGCATTATGTTTACCTCTACATTTAGGATCTAGAAACACTTACACTTTATGTATCTGTTTCTTTAGTCAAGAAGGAAATTGATTTTTAACCCCATTTCTCAGGATGAAATTATATAAGGGAAATGGTGGAAGCTATGTTTTGAAAAGTCATTTTTCTATGACTATAAATGACATTGATCATTTGCCATTTAAATCAGTAATACATAACAATTGTTTTTACTGATGAAAAAATTCAAATGTAAACTAATTATTTCCATCTCAATATTTGCTTCCAATTTTTTTAACATAGATACTGTCATGGATTGAACTCTGTCCCCCAAAATCTGTCAACTTGGCTAGGTCATGATTCCCAGTATTATACGATTGTCTACCATTTTGTAATCTGATGTGATTTCTCTATGTGTTGTGTATTCTATCATTGTGATGTAATAAGCTGGATTAGTGGCAGTTATATTGACGAGGTTTACAAGATTAGATAGTGTCTTAAGCCAGTCTCTTTTGAGATATAAAAGAGAGAAGGGAGCAGAGAGACAGGGGGACCTCGTACCACCAAGAAAGCAGCACTGGGAGCAAAGCGCATCCTTTGGACCTGAGTTCCTGTGCTCGGATGCTCCCAGAACAAGGGAAGACTGATACATCACGAGGACCTTCCTCCAGAGCCCACAGAGAGAGAAAGCCTTCCCCTGGAGCTGACGCCCTGAGTTTGGACTTGGAGGCTACTAGACTGTGAGAGAATAAATTTCTCTTTGTTAAAGCCATCCACTTGTGGTATTTATGTTATAGCAGCACTAGATGACTAAGACAGATTCCTTTTTACTTTAACATTTGTATTTATCTTATGGTATTCTTTTCCTGCTGTTAGAATAAATTTTAGGGACGAAGTATATCTCGTCTTTCAGGGCTACTATGGGAAGGTCATCTCTGATGCAGTATTTCTTTCTGTCTGCTTTTATTCAGATTGTCATTTTGGCTGTCCAGTCAGGGAAATAATACAGTGCATAAAGTCACCTGAAGAAATCTTATTTGTGGATCACAACAGAGGGTTCTGGACAGAGCTGGAGAAGGATGTAGAGCATAATTCTATCTCACAAAAAAAAAGACCAGATTTACTGGCCTAAAGGAGACTGGAGAAACCCTGAGAGTATGGCCCCCAGACACCCTTTTAACTCAGTGGTGAAGTTACCTCTGAGGTTCACTGTTCAGCCTGGAAGTGGACAGCCCCGTAAAACCAAATGAGACTAACGAGGTACAGGAATCCAGTGACAAGGGCCAGAAAGCAGAAGGGGACAACGAAGCTGGTGATAGGGAACCCAAGGTTGAGTAAGGATATTGATGTGTTGTGAGATTGTTAACCATTGTCATAGGGCAACATTTGTAGTTACTGTTAAATGAGAAACTATTTTGTTATGTAAGCCTTCATCTTAAGTGAGAATAACGGCACAATTGGAAGAGCGTAGTCAATGTCACTGAACTGTGCATGTAGAAATTTTTGAAATGGTGTATCTTTGGCTATGTGTATTTTCACCAAAAAAAAAAAAATGGTTGAGAAGTTAGAGGGTTGCCATGTTGTGGGATTGTTAACCAATGTCATAAAACAACATGTGTACTACTGTTTCATGAGAAACTATTTGTTCTGTAAGCCTTCGCCTGAAGTACAATAAATATATAAATATATAAATTAAAAAAAAAAAAAAAGAAATCTTATTTGTTCTCAAATTCTCTCTCCCTTTTAGTCTGTGACATTGCATACAGATGTAGGTGATATTAAAATAGAAGTCTTTTGTGAGAGGACACCCAAAACCTGTGAGGTGAGTACCATTATTTACATATTAAAAATGAGTTTAATGCACCAGGATAGCCGTTTTGAAGTTAAATCACCTAACCCTAAAACAATAACAGCAGAAAAAAACTTTTCTGCTGTAACTGGTTAGAAAAAACCAGCCATTATAATTTATGGCCTAATTTCCTTACCTTTCCTCATATCAAAGTTAGATCAAAGAAAGGGTAGATAATTTTTCTCCAGGCATAGAGAAGGAGTTCCTGTGTGATGCAAGTAGTTAAGCACTTGACTACTAGCTGAAAGATTGGTGGTTAGAACCCACCCAGAGATGCCCTGGAAGACAAGCCTGGCGATCTGCTTCCCAAAGGTTACAGCCTTGAAAACTATGGAATCAACTAGACGGCAACTAACCACAACAACCGTAGAGTGGCTGACATCTTTTTCTTTTGATTCATTTTCCTCAGGAAAGGTAGAGAATTATTAGGATATTAAATAAGAGAACCGTTCTATCCATTATTTCACCTGTTTAAATGACAAAGGTAGAAGGAAGAAGATTCAGTTGTATATACTCATTCATTCAATACTTACTTATGAAAGGCTATCTTGCTAGGGTCTGGGGATACAGTGATAAACAAAAGACATCCCTTGTGTTCATGGAGCTTATGTTCTAGCAAGGAAGACAGCAGGGGGGAAGATTAAGTAATTTTAGAGTGTGATAATACCTTCAAGGAAATAAAGTGTTGGGGTAGAGAATAATGTGGAAGGAATGATTTAAGCAAAGAAGGTGAAGGCAGGTCTAGCCAAAAAAGTGATACTTACACTGAGTCTGTAGGTAATGAAGGCATCTCCATAGAAAGAGATGTAAAAAGAACATTCCAAGTATAGTAACAGCAGGAACAAAGAATTCAAGGTGGGAAAGCCTGCTTCTTTTGGATGAATTGCCAGAAGGCTGATGGGGTTAACATAGTAAGCAACAGGGAAGGGTGCATTATCACATGAGATGTAGAGGTAGGGCAGGTCATGCAGGGCCTGTTAGGTCCTGTTAAGGATTTTGTATTTAATTCTAAGAACAGAAGGGAGCCATTGAAGTATTTTAAGAAGGGAAGTGACATTATCCAAAGTAATGTCTAAAAGTTATAATTTAATATTCTGCTATAGTGTTTTCAGTAAATATGATCTATTCTTTTTCTTAAATGTGTTTCTGCTGTTCTCTTGCATCATTTCTCAATCATTTTCACTCTCCAGAATTTCTTGGCTCTTTGCGCCGGTAATTACTACCATGGCTGTATATTTCATAGAAATATCAAGGGTTTCATGGTTCAAACAGGAGATCCAACAGGTAAGCTGTTTCATTAGTTAATATCAAGGGGATTGGGTATATAGAGTAAAGAAGAGGGTAGAAGAAGAATAGAAAAAGCATACGGAGTTCTTATAATACTACCTTACCGTAACAAGAAATTTTTAAGCAGAAGATTTTAGTACCTACCCCTAAAAGTAGCCCTTAAGTTTTAGAAAATATAAATAAGGGTCTCTTAAACCCCTACCCCATCCCAAGAACCTTTGTCAACTTTCATTAGATACTTTTTTTGGTTTGCTTGTCTTATAATACAGGTACTGGAAGAGGAGGTAACAGCATCTGGGGGAGGAAGTTTGAGGATGAATACAGTGAATATCTTAAGGTATATCCCCATTTCTTCATAATCCATTTTCTAATGCCTTAGTTACACTTCGAAACTTTGATACATACGTCGTTGCAATGCACATTAGCATCATTACTAAATATATATATGTGCACGTGTGTGTATATATGTATACTTCCCTTTTGGTAGCTTTTGCACACTTGGTAAATGATATCAGAGGGAAAACATAAATGGCAATTATAGCCAGTCAATATACTGGAATTGCACCATCACATAGATCTTGATATTAAATGAACTCATTTTTAGGTCCAACCTGAAATGTTTAGTTAGTAATGTAAAGGCCATGAGTCACTGGCCTTTTCTGAGAGTGAGGAGGATAAACTATCACACCTCCTGTTTGCTGATACTGCCCGTCACCAAGCCCTGATTTTATCATCTTCTGTTAGATGTCTAAATTCAATGCCTACAGTAGATCTCAACTAGGTTAAAGAGAAGTATATATAAATCAATCTTCATGTTGGTAAAATTAGGGATTTTTCTTTCCTTTGCTATATTAAAGAATCTATTTTTTCTCTAAAATTCAAAAAACTAGTACATGCCTGTAAAAATAAGTCAGTTCCACTTCCCAGACATAACTTCAGTTAACGGTTTTGTGGTCTTTCAAACTTTCTGTCTTCAAATAATAACTAGAAAAAAAGATGAATTTTCCTCAATCAGAATATATAATTTATAATATTGTATTTCAGTTACATTAAAATATATTTAGCAAAAATTCTGAAAAAAAATCACTCCAATACTTATCTCTGGATGTTGGGACTAGGGGTAATTTATCTTCATTTTGCTTTTTTATCATAAGAAAATACTATTTTTGTTACAGGAGCTTGGGTTGCGAGGTGATAGACTTAGATAGACTTAGAAACTAAACAATTTTTTTAGGCATGAATTAACGACCGCTTCCATCACACTAGTCTATCATACCAGTGGTTTTCAATCTTGGCTATGACACAGTCCTCTGGAAGTTTTAAAAATGTAGAAAATCAAGGGCTTATCTCACCATACCCCATGCCCCTAAAAATAGAGAAGAACAATAAGTAGGACTGATTTAGGAGGTTGACTATATTTTAAGGTTCCCAAGGTGTTTCTAGTGCTGCCATAGTTAAGAACCATTGCCTTAACTGTGCCAATATAAGTATGTATATTGAATATTCACATACTTTGTGACCAGCAATTCCATTCCCAGATGTTTACCTCAGAGAAACTCTTGTACATGTGCACCAGGAGACACATACAAGAGTATTCCTAGAGTACTGTTTGTAATAGCAAAAATCTAGAAACAACCTAAATGTCTATGATAGAATGAATAAATTGTAGTCTGTTTAATAATGAGAAAACAAAAATCCTCACAACTGGACCAATAAGCAACATCATGATAAATGGAGAAAATATGGACGTTGTCAAGGATTTCATTTTACTTGGATCCACAATTAGTGCCCATGGAAGCAGCAGACAAGAAATCAAACGGCGCATTGGGCAGATCTGCTGCAAAAGACCTCATTAAAGTGTTAAAAAGCAAAAATGTCATTTGGAGGACTAAGGTGCGCCTGACCCAAGCCATGGTATTTTCGATTTCATATGCATGTGAAAGCTGGACAGTGAATAAGGAAGACCGAAGAAGAATTGAATGATAGTGTTGGTGGAGAATGTTGCATACACCATGGACTGCCAGAAAAATGAACAAATCTGTCTTGGAAGAAGTACAGCCTAGAATGCTTCCTCTCATGTACTTTGGACATGTTATCAGAAGGGACCAGTTCTGGAGAAGGACATCATGCTCGGTAAAGTAGAGGGTCAGCAAAAAAGAGGAAAACCCTCAGCGAGATGGATTGTTGACACAGTGGCTGAAACGATGAGCTCGAACATAGCAATGATTGTTAGGATGGCGCAAGACTGGGCAGCGTTTCGTTCTGTTATATGTACAGTTGCTATGATTTGGATCCAATTCGATGGCACGTAACAACCATTCGATAATGAATACTACATAGTACATAGCAGGTAAAAATCAATGAACTAAAAAAAAAGAATCAATGAACTGCAGCTACATACACATGTATAAATCTTAAAAACATAATGTTGAATATAAAAATCAAGTCCCAGAAGACTACAAAAGAGTATGATACCATTTTATAGCGCTTAGAACAAACAGAAGGAAACAATGTGTTGTTTCAAACCCAAACCCATTGCCATGGAGTCAATACCAACTCATAGCAACCCTATAGGACAGAGTAGAACTGCGCCATAGGGTTTCCAAGGAGCAGCTGGTGGATTCAAACTGCCAACCTTTTGGTTAGCAGCCTCAGCTCTTAACCACTGGGCCACCAGGGCTCCTTGTGTTGTTCAGGCATATATAAATAGAACACTAGTTACTTCTTGGAGAGGTGGAGGGTTCGAATGAAGAAGAGCATATAGACATATGCAACAGCATTGGTACATTTTAATTCTTAAAGTTGGGAAATAAGTTAATGGGTGTTTATTATGACAAATGATACATAAGTTCTTGAGTATATACCAAATATTGTATTTGCTTGGTAACCACCGTTTAGGGGAGACAATAAAGCATTGATACTTTGATGTAGCTGCATGTCTATGGTCTAATTAGTGTAACCTGCTGAAATACCTAAAGAGTAATCTGTGGAATTACCTGTAGTATATTTTATATTTGAGCACCTCCCACTTTGTTGTTGTTCTTCAGTAATGCTTTACTTATCTGGGGCCTCTTTCCTTTCTGTATGAAGTTGGTGATTTGTTTCTCCATCTCATTAAAAAATGCCATTGGAATTTGGATCAGTATTGCATTGTATCTGTAGATCGCTTTGGGTAGAACTGACATTTTCACAATGTTGAATCTTCCTATCCATGAGCAAGGTATGTTTTTCCACTTATGCAAGTCTGTTCATTTCTTGCAATAGTATTTTGTAGTTTTTATTGTATAGGTCTTTTCCGTCTCTGGTTAAATTTATTCCTAAGTGTTTTATCTTCTTGGGTGCTGTTGTAAATGGTATGGATTTGGTGGTTTCCTCTTCGAAGTTCTCTTTGTTGGTGTAGAGGAATCCAACTAAATTTTGTATATTCATCTTGTATCCTGATACTTTGCTGAAATCTTTTATTCGTTCAGTAGTTTTCTTGTGGATTGTTTGCGGTTTTCTGTGTATTAGGTCATATCATCTGCAAATAGAGATACTTTGACTTCTTTCTTACCAATTTGGATGCCCTTTATTTTTCTAGCATAATTGCTCTGGCTAGGACCTCCAGCACAGTGTTGAATCTAAGAGTGGTGATAAAGGGCATCGTTTTCTGGTTCCCGTTCTCAAGGGGAATGCTTTCAGACTCTCCATTTAGAATGATGTTGGCTGTTGGCTTTGTATAAATGCCCTTTATTATATTGAGGAATTTTCCTTCTATTCCTATTTTGCTGAGAGTTTTTATCATGAATGGGTGTTGGACTTTGTCAAATGCCTTTTCTGTATCAATTGATAAGATCATGTGGTTCTTGTCTTTTGTTTTATTTATGTGATGGATTACATTGATTGTTTTTCTCATGTTGAA